CCTGCTGACCAGAACGATGGCCATGTCATCACAGAGAGCCAGTTCTACCTTCACGGTAGCCTGCTCCTGGGGACACGCTGTCCTGGGCTGCAGCTCAGAGCGGCCTAGTCAGGAGAGGAGGAAGGGACCCCCCACCCAGGCCTGGGCCACTCCCACTGCAATATGAGAAGCAGTACGGGGCCTACGTGGTGCAAATGCACCAGAAACACCCCACATCTGGTGCTGAGCACTGTTAGGGTGAGGGTGAGGGATGGACAGGCGGGGGCAGACCTCACCCATTGTGAGGTCACCTCTCACCCAGGCAGCTCCTCCCATCTGTGTGCATCTTGTACTGTGGATGGCAGCTACACTCTGGGCCTTCAGCAGTGTCTTCACAGGAGTGCTGGCATCCACCGTTTCCATGGTTACAGGTCACTGAGCGCAAAATGAATCAATACAGACAACACTAAGATTTTCACACCCAGGACAGGGTTTGCTCCAATGGAGCTTGGATTGGCATTCTGCAAGTATTTGAGTACCTAGTGCATGTTAGACCCGTGCATTTAAGACAGAACTCTGGTTCGGACCCTGTCCATGTCTGTGTAAGCAGACAGTTGCAATCCGAATTGTGGAAACGCTAAAGCACAGGCTTAGACAAAGTCATCCAGGAGGAGGGAGATGAGAGAGTGAATGAAAGGGGCGTGGTGAGATTTTCACTAGTTAAGGAGAATTATTTCAAGACATTCTAGACTCCTACTTTTCCCTAGCTAGAGAAGTTTGCTTATTAACACAGCCGTACTCAAGCTTTGAGAAATGCTATAGCACTTTATGTCTAGAATAAACAGACATTTAGTATGTACACTTACGTTAGGATTTCTCTCACCAGATTCCATCTGGATTAGTTAGGAGGGATGGTAATCAGGGAAAATGATGACTCTGCACACAATTAATGAGACGCTAACCAATAATTATGAAGACTATGTGTGAATGCATTGATGACAGGCCAAAAAAATAAAAACCACCACAAAACTATCTACTCATCAAAGTGTCAACGGTTGGTTACCTCTGGCAAAGGAAACGGGAGGGAGAAGACTGTTTACTTCATACACTTTGGAGTGTTCGGATTCTTACAGAGGCCTTGTAATTTTTCTGACAAGAACTGATGACATCTGTGTGATGTGAGAAAGCCACTGTCCTGCCGCGCCAGCTATGTAAAAACCATGTGTGCCCGTGAACGACAGCTGAGAACATGCTAAATCAAAACCATCAGTCCCGTGGTGAGATCCTGGGTCTTTAACTCTTCACATGTTAGAGCAATTTAAGATGTTGAGCAGTGGCATCTTAAAAACCTTTAGCCTTGGGCCGGCAAGTGGCATGGTGGTTAAAGGCGCTGGACTCCCACATGGCCGACCACGGTTCGAGTCTCGGATCTTGTGGCTGGCTTTCTCACTTCCTCTCTCTCTCTGTCTCTCTCTGTCTCTCTCTGATCAAACTGGAAAATAATAATGATAATAATAATAAATAAAGTTAAATAAAATAATAAAAAAAAACCTTTAACCTTTTATAAAAATCTTATAGGGGGAGGCCAACAGGTGGTGTGGTGGTTGGCGTGCTGGACTCCCACATGACTGACTGTAGTTCAAATCCCAAATCTAGAGACTTGTTTTCTTACTTTCTGTCTCTCTCTCTCTGTCTCACTCTGGTGAATATGTGTGCCCTGTAGCAAATTACATAATAATGATGATGATAAATAAAGTTAAATAAATAATTGTTTAAAAAGCTCTGGTAAAAAAAAATCTTATGGGTACCCTGCCACCGCTCTATTTAAAAAAATCTTATGGGTACCCTGCCACCAGCACTCAGCCCCTGTGAAACTCTGAGATGCTGAGAGTTGCTCTTCACAGGAGAGTCCTGAGGAACTTGGGTCCTGCTTTGGGGCCCTGGAGGCAGGATTAGGGGGCTCCACCCTACTCAGCCACTGGAGGCCCTGAGGGATGGCCTCCTTTGAGGGGCCCTAAGAGCCTGTCAGAACCTTTCGTCTATGTGTGACTGTGGCCCTGGCCCTGGTTTGGCTGCGCTGTGCTTTATGATGGAGACAAGGAAGAGAAGTCTCTCACCAGCGAGACCATCTCCTCTCTCTTTCTCTCTTTTAAGGTACCAGGGGAAGGCAGAGAGGCAAAAATGAGACAAGCCCTGGAGGGGCTCAGAGTTGGAGAGACAGACACAAACATACAATTCAACCTCGAGTGTCCTGCTCTAACTGTCCTGCTGAGGAACAGACGAAGAGGTGCTGGAGCCAGATCCCAAATGCGCTGTCTGTGGCCACCTGGGAAGGCCTCTGAGGCAGCACAGCATGGTGACTAAGAGCACGGCTTCATAGTTAGCCACCCCGGGTTTGAATACTCATTTGCTACCTACTCCCTGTATGACCCTGTTGCTACACCTTCTCCACAAGTGTCTCAACTGAAAATGAGGGTGACAATATTGAGCTCATAGGGTGGTGCTTGGGAGAATTACATGCGATATGGCACTTCTGGAGACAAATCTTTGCAAAAGTGCTGCAAGAAAGGTTGCAATCATCCTTATCATAACTAGATAAGGATAAATAGGATATTGAAGGTTGAGCGAGAATTCACCAACCCAGGAAGAGAGGAGGACCTGGGGAAGTCTGAGAGATACCAATGTACATAGGCTGTTTTCCCAAAGGCAAGGAATGTAGTGTTGAGGGAAAGGAGGTGGATGAGGCTTATAAAGGAAACAGGGACCAGACAGCAAAGAGCATCCACACTCTACCCCTGAATTTCATTTCCTCCTGACTGGCTCCTCTGCACATATCATTTCCTCTCCCTTTCCCCATAGGAGACTTCCCTTCTGCAGTGAACTACATACTCATCAGAGCCAGCCACCTCCCCTGGTGCTGCTCCTGTGCCCGTCAGCGGTGTTTCTGATGCTGGGCTGTAGAAGGGTAGGATGGTGGCCAGCCCAAGGGTGTGCTAGTCCATACTTACAGATGCAGTCTCTCTGGTTCTTGGCCAGTTCAAAACCAGGCCTGCACTCACAGGCAACATTGCCCCTTGGGGCCTCCTTGCAGATGTGACTACAGCCGTGATCCTTATTCATGCAGCTCAGACCCTCTGCAAAACAACAGCACAGCAGGTAACAGGCTGTGAGGCCTCAGGTCCAGGGACCTGCAAGGGGCTGGGGTAGAAACATAAACCTGCCCGTCTGGGTTTCCATCAGCCCCAAATTTACAATCAAGCCAGGCCTATGTACAGACATGAAAAATGTCTTACATCACCCAAGGGATAGGATGTATCAACCTTCCTGAAGAGACGGGAGCCTCCCACTAAACAGGACGGCATGGGATCAGAGCCTGCTAACCCCCTGATCTCAGCCATATCTTTCTCCATCAGATGATCAAGAAGGCAAAAAGAAAAGGAGAATCCCACTAAGAAAATTTGCAGCTAGAATGATGAAAAGTCCCAACTTTTTTGCATAGTCATGAACATTCAAAATTGTCAACCTTCCTCCCCGCCCCTCTGCCACACTCTAGGGTGTGACAACTGTGATTTGGCACCACCACATGGACACCTGTCCCAGGACCTCTCTTATGTGACCACTCTCAGGTCCTTGGCCCTCTCCTAAGCAGACTCAGGGCATGTTTCTGATAGCATCACACAACAGCTGGGGAGCAGACACAGAGGGAGCTCACATGGGTGGTCTCCTTTAGCTGTTAGATCATTCATCTTAGGTACCACATCTTGTGGTAGTGGTGGTAGCGAAGGACAAAGGTAGTTATATTCCTGGATGGTTTAATGATCATCTAAACGATGGGGCAATAGCCAGGTAAACACACATGTTTACCAACATGTGGTTTACCAACATCCTGCCTCATCTCAAAGTCACTTCTCCGAGACCTTGCTGTGTGCAAGAAGGGGCTATTACGACACCCAGGACTATCCTCAAGACCTCTGCCCTGTTTGCACTGCATTATTAAGGACCCGTTCACCTGTGGCTTCCTCACCTTTTGTACTGCAACTCGAAAACACATGGCGGATAGAGTCTTGGCTTTCTGCTAACTAGACATTTTCTAATACTAGAAGTAGCTCTGGCTGAAACATGAGTACAAAATGTTCTTAGTCAATTTCTCCAGGATCCAACACTGTTCTTTACTGTAGCCCTAAAATCTTAGGAAAAGGAATGGGGGCCAGCAGGCGGCGTGGTTAAGGTGCTGGATTCCCACATGGCTGACCACAGTTTAAGTCTGAGACCTGGTGGCTTGCTTTCTTGCTTTCTCTCTCTCTTTGTCTCTTTCTCTCTCTCTCTGGGGAGCGCATGAAACCTATAACAAAATTTTAAAATGAGAATGAGAATAAATTTTTTTTTAATCCTTAGCAAATGGGTTTTAATAAAGTCAAAAGTCCCTCTCTCCAGCTGCCCATGCAGAGCCTTCTGTCTGTCCTTAACTGGAAAAATTGTTTTAACACAGACAGGAGCCCTTCCTATTCCAAAGGCAGTGCAAGAGTTAATAAGACTCCCTACTTGCTTGAATCCCTCCAAAAAACACCGTACTTTTTGTCTGGCAGCCGCACGCTGTTTGCACTCCAGCACTATCTGCTGCCTGTGGCCTGTTGCCGGACCATTTGCGCATACCAAGGCACATGTCAATAAACAAAACGGATCTTGCACTGGATCGTGGAAAGCTCCCTCTTTGCTTTGGCTGGTCATTTCTGAAGTTGTTATTTGTTCCCCAGGACGGAGATGGCACAGGAGATGAGAGCTGCCTCCAGAAAAAGTGCCCTATCCTCCAAGGAAGGCCCAGCGAGCGTTTTATCTGACTTTGGATCAGGAGAGCATCTGAGATAACCAGTGACAGAACACTCAGGAATACACCAAACGGAGCTCAGGAGAAGGCAGAAGGAAGACCTGGAAGAGCACTCCCAGCCAGCTCAGCTGCTGCTGCTGCTTTTCCACTGTTTACAAGTCTGGGAAGACATTTGCCGAGTGACCTGGACTGCTTTGGAGCAGTTCCTCTACACAAGAAATATTTCATAACGACGACTGTGTCAGATGCTATCAGGGCTCACATGCAAGTTGCCCTCTGCCGTCACATTGCACCAAGCTAGACCTGAAGTTACCAGGAGGTAAGGGAGGCTTAAGTGGCTCTGGAAATGATGACCCCAGGGCCTATCATAATGTCCTAACACCAACAAAAAGTCTTGCTAAGGGAAGGGAATAGATCTGTTCCAAACTGAGAGACCCAACAATGACACTGTTCTCCCCAGGACTGGCCTGACTGTTCCAGAAAAGAAACAGCCCAAGAAACCCCTGAAAACACCCATTCTGGTGTTCCCCAGGCTCACTGGGTTCCACTGAAGAGTACTTTTGGAAACTGAATTAAAATGTGCCTTGCAAATGGGGCAAGAGACATTACATAAAATGGGAAGCCGGCCCTGCTGAGAGCTCAACCTTCTTCACTACCCAGACACCCTCCCGCCACTCTGGCAAGACACCATTACATATTCTCCGAGCAGATGGGACAGAGGAGCGATGCTCCATTTGAGAGCCTGAGCACCCATGAATAGGAACAAAGGCAGGCTGGGACGATGGGTTTCTCTCCAGCCTAGCCCATTACATGGGTGAAAACACACAGTCTCTTTAACAGAGCCTTGGGGTCTCGAAGGATTCAAAGAAAAATCAAGAGCTTGAGCTTTCTCTCAGAATCAGCTCATGTGACCCCCTACGTTTAAGGATTCTTACTCAACAATTATTAAAAAGAACAACAGTAGCACTACGAAATCTTCACACAGTTCGTGGAAATCTATACTATGAAAAAAGTCTGCATGGATTTCCATTTTCTTTTTTTTTGCACCAAAATAAACTCTTACTTTATTTTTCAATGAACTTTTTAAAGTCCCCTCCTACTAGCTTGCAGTATTACCATCTTTTAACCATTTTTAGGTTACTAACTGTGCACTTTGGAGTCTATTTTAATACAGTTGCTGAGGGTTAATATGCAGGTCGGGGAAGGAATCCCAGAGGAACAGTTGCTCTGTTTGAAGAACTACGCCCTAGGATGGACAGGTTCTCTGTTACAAGTCGCAATAACCCGCTGGTGGACACAGCCAGGACTTTGCCAACCAATCGGGTTAAAAAGCAACAGAAAGTCGCAGGGAGCACTTCCAGACCACAACTCCAATTCTTGGATTTTGATTTTAGTTCCAGACCAATACGTTCATTTTAAATACTCTTCAGGGGATCCAAGAATGTCTGAATTGAAGAAAATTTAGAAAACATGGTTTGCAGTGAGGAGCTGCATTTGTATTTACTTCTGTCATGAGGAGCCTGTGTCTCTAATCAGTCTGGGGGTTGGTGGGAGGTAGAAGAGGGGCTGAGCCAGGACTCTGAAAGTGCAAGGATAAGAATTTCTACAAGCTGCTCTGTGAGTGTGAGATCCATACTGGATGCCCGAGCAAAGGCTTTCACTACAGCTCCCTGGCTAATCACCCCTGGTTAATCACCCCCGGTTGATCAGAAGAACTTCCAACAAGGAGAGACACCATGAGGTTCCGATCACTGCACAATGGGCATCTTTCGTTTGGCTTTTGCTTTTGCTTTTGCTTTTGCTATAGGGTGCTTGTGCTCGTGCTTGCTAGAGAGAGCTAGAGAAAGGGAAAGTGAGAAAGCACCCTCCAGGGGAGGTGGCTACTGCTGCAATCCCTTCTCCATTCTCCTCTCAGGATTTTGACCACGTACCAGCATGATTTTCATGCTGCCAAGTCCTGCCTTGGAACCGCATAACTGGCCCTGTGGAATCCAGCACCTTAACCTCCATGCCACCTGTTGGCCTGGCATCTATTCGTTTTTACCCTTATTTTATTTCTTTCATAATAGTATGAGAAAAAAGAGAGAGAGAGAAAACACCTCTAACAGGGCCTTGACACCATGATGCAGCCCTAGCCTCAACCAGCCTCAGATCATGGTCATGCCCGTGCCTTCACACTCAGGGAGGTCTCCAGGCATGAACTCAGAGCCTTGCTTTGTGGGTCGGCCTCACAGAGCATAGTGTTCTATTGCTATGCCACGGTCTAGCCCCAGAGGCCATCATTCATTCCTACCTCGAGTTCTGACAAGAATTCGGTACACACGAACAATCCAGGGAACACAGCAGGAAAATGAAACCAGGAAACCAATTGCTACCCTGTCAAGGACCACACCTAAGGGGGCCAGCAGGTGGCATGGTGATTAGGGCACTGGACTTCCACATGACCAACTGAGGTTCGAGTCCTGGCTTGCTTTGTTACTTCCCCACTCTCTCTCTCTCTCTCTCTCTCTCTCTGGTACAGTGTATCTGCCCTATAGCAAAAATAAATAAATAAATAAAAGGCCACACCTGGCAATGAGATAAGAGACCCACCTGTGTATGGCCTGTCTCAGACACTGAGAATGAGCAGATTAGGAGGTAATAGCCATCAAACCCACTCCCTGGTTTGTATATCTGACAATGCTTCTCAGTGTCCAAAGAGATATTCTAGTTAGGTATGGAGGATCTTCAAAAAGTTCATGGAAAAACACACATAAGGAAAAAACTGTGCAGGAATTTTTAATTCTTTTGCACCAAAATAAATTCATACTTCAATTCCATCTTTCTCTCAAAATAAGGTATAGGCCCTCTTTCTTGGAAAATGAGACAAAAATCATCTCCCATGAAGAAACCATTGAAAAGTCACTAAAATCATGATTAAAATATAAATCTACAATTTTGTGATCAAACAGCAGAAGAACTTAAAATGACCTCATTCTTGAGTTATGAGAACGAACAAGCAGCACGTACCAAAAGGAATTAATCGTCCAATACTGAGGGCATTTCCCCCTAAAAACAGGCCAACATAACTGTAAGAGGAAGACAGCCACCAAAAATGTGACTCTTTAAGCCAAAGAAAGAGCAGAGAAGAATGAAAAGGATGACATTCAGTTTTAAAAAACTGGCCACATGTACTTAATCCCTCTCCCTTCCAAGAATCCACTAAAATATCAGGAATTTTTAAAAAGGTGTAAATGGAAAGCAAGGAGAATGGAAGGGAGGCCATCAGAAGAGAAGAGTTTTGAGCCGACTTATGGAGGAGTGGTAAACGGGAACGGGGTCAAGAAAGCACAGCACAGAGAGCCTGCGCCAGGCAAGGAGTCTTTCCGAACCCCACAAGCTTGGAGTTAAAAAATGCAAAACACAAAGAAGGGCCAGAGTAGCTTGGGGCTGGAAATGGCAATTCATTGGAAGTCTCTAGGAGAGATCCAGCCCCTTCCCAGCCTCCCAGAGCCAGGAGCAGGCTCATACTCGGGCTGTGGTTTGTAGCACGTTTTTGAAAAACTTGGCGGATATCCATTTTATTTCTCCTGAGACATCGAGTCATGTTTGAAATGTACCGTCTTTAAAGATTAGAATCAGGGAATGTGAACGTTTGAAAGAACCTAAGCACTCGCCCCGTCCAAGACACTTATTTTGCCAGGCGAGGAAGATGAAGTTCAAATAAGTTGCCTACGTTTTCCCAGCAGCAGAGTCTGGACTCATCCCCAGGCCTCCAGACTCTTTGTACCCTGTAAAGAAAGTGTGTGCCGACGTGCACATGGGAGTGACCGCCCCCGCCCACAGCAGGTACCTTCTGAGCGGTGAATGCACGTGTGCTGGTTGTCACTCAGGAAGAAGCCCTCCTTGCAGCGGCACTCATAGCTGCCCATGACATTGACACAGGTGTGCTGGCAGCCGCCATTGTTCTCCAGGCACTCGTCCACATCTGGGGAAGAGAGGGATTCGCTGTTGCTTCTGTGACTGTTTCAAACACCCTGTCCCCAGCCTGACAGCTCAGAAACTCCTGCTAAGCTGAGATGAGGTCCCTCTCTGATCTTTGCATCACAGAAGCCCTCAGAATCAAAGCCAGTGGGGCCTCCAATGACGAACCCAACCCTCACGGTTCTGGAGCTCACTTGGCCAGGCCCTCAACACGGACACCAGATAATCAGTAAATATTTATCGAGCACCTTCTCTTTCTAAGGCACACAGTGCTAGAGCCAGTAGAATACAGATGAGCAAGATAAAATTCCTTTCCTCTGGGAGTACGCCCTGCGGTCGGCAGACAGGAACAGGGAAAAAATAGCACGGGGAAGGGGGGGTCCCACCTCCTTGTGGGATATCAGGATGGGCTTTATGGAAAAGTCAATGAAAGATGGGCCGTTAGATCACTTCAGCTGTACATCAGAGAGGGGGGTGTAGGCGGGAGAAGGTGTGGGCAGTAGCACAGACGCTGGGACCATGGACAGAACGCAGATGCTCATGAGTCATCCAGCTGGGCTGGACCACAGGGACGGGAGGAAAGTCACTGGACAAACAGCTGGGAAGACAGACTGGGGTCACACTGCAGGATCGTGACAGCCGAAGGTCGCTGGGAATCACCAGAGCAGGAGCAGCATGGTCAGACCCCCACTGTGAGGGAAATAAGGCGACAACTGAGAGTAGGACCCAGGGAAGGAGAAGAGCGAGAAGTCGAAGTCGGGCAGTCCGGCCTGACACGTGCACCTGAGGTAGTGATGACTCGGCCTAGTGGGGCGGAGCTGTGACTGGCCTGGGGGAGGCAGCGAGCAAGACAGGAAGACTGCGGTGGACCCCGCTTCTGCAGGTCTGGGAGCCTTTGGGTGGGGACGAGGACAAAGAATTACACCAACAGCTTCAGGAAAAGAAAAATGGGGAAGACCGGCACAGGCTACAGATGTGAGGATGGAGGTCTGGTTGTCCCAGCCCAGCACAGGCAGGCAGATGTCTGAAATGCTGGGATTCTGCACCCGGTCCAGCAGTCAGTGGGAAACCGGGGATGGTGAGCGGGGAAAGACCCTCGTGTTGTAAGCACAGCTTGGAAAGTCATTAACTCGGGGTTGCCTGGTAAAGTGCTGCATGTGGAAGAGCGAGCCAAAGGCGGGAATGTGGGAAGGGAGAGAAAGGAGATAGACAGTGGAAGAATTCTGGACATGCCAGGGGCAGGGAGGACGTAGAGGAGACAGCAGGAGCCCCAGGAGTCCCAGGAGTCCCCCCAACACCCTTACCCTGCCCACTCCTGCAGAAGCCAGCAGAAAGGCAGGGGTGGGGTGCTCCTCTGACCAGCTTCTGCTACACCCCAGAGCAGTCTTAGGCAGCCTCCATTTTACCATGCCCATAGCACCCTGAGCACAGCTACACTAACACTCTACTCACTTGCACTCTCAAAATCCTTTACTTGGGGACCAACAGGTGCAGTGGTGGTAGAGACATTAGACTCCCACATGGCCAACTGTGGTTCGAGTCCCAGTCCCAGTGGCTTATTTTCTCACTTTCCCTCTCTGTCTCACTCTAGGGAGTGCATGTACCCTATAGCAAATTTAAAAATAATAATAATAGGGGTCAGTAAGTGGCATGGTGGTTGGGGCACTGGGCTCCCATATGGCTGACCACTGTTTTGAGTCCCACACTTGGTGGCTTGCTTTCTCACTTTCTGTCTCTCTGTTTCTCTCTAGTGGGTGTGCATACCCTATGGCAAACTTAAAAATAAATAAATCAAATAATTCTTTTTAAAAATAAATAATAATTTTTAAATTAAATGATTATTTTTTTAAATAAAATAAATTTAAAATCCTTTATTTTTCCATTTCTACTGGACTCCAAACTAAAGACAGTTTTGTTTCATTAGCTCAGCCTTGGAACACACAGCTGGTGCTCATTAATTGTTCAAAGTGTGGGGGCTGGTAGGTGGCATGGCGGTGAAGACACTGGACTCTCACGTGGTCAGTGGTGGTTCAAGTCCCGGACCTGGAAACTTACTTTCTCTCTCTCTCTCTGTCTCTCTCTGGTCAAATTAAAAATAATAATAAATACAATCATTTTTTTTAATTGTTCAATTGGACAAAGATGCAGGAGAACACAGCATCACTAGAGCCAAATAGAAGGAGTCTTCCAGAAGAGCCTCAGACACAACAAAGGGGCTTAGGCAGAAGGCTGACAGAAACGCAATTTATTTTTCTCCAGCCCGATTGCTCACATGCCTATCGCTAGCTCCTGGGCATACCCCTAACAAGCAAATTCACGTTTCGATCCCTGTTATCTGGTTTCAAGCTTTAGATCTTAGAGTCATCTGTCCTCCCACGCCACCAGGAGATGCCTGACTAAACTGATGGGACTCCAGCCATTGCCTAAAGCCTAACAAACCTGCCCTTGTCTACACTAAAGGGCGAAAGAAGCACATTCCAGAGGACGAGCCCCGCTGGAACACACCTGGCCTAGGACTGCATGGAGAGGACTCAAGGGGAGGACAGGTATGTTTCCCTGGACACCCAAATAAGGTTTGTGGGGAGCAAAAGCTGCCACACCCTATGCTGAATACACCATTTCTTTTCTCCAAAGCAGTCAGGAATGTGTCGTTAAGCTGGTGATGCAGTCTGATTGACAAGTACAAAAGCGTGTGTGTTCACACATGAACATGTATCACCAGGCTGGTGAGTTTCTCCAGACTAGGCAACAGGGCTTCTCAGCCCTGATGGTTATATCACCGGATTCCCATAGAGTTTACCACGTTTCCAGTCCTACTATGTGGGAGTCCAGTGACATAGCCATTATGCCATCTGCTGGTCCCTGTTATTTGTTTATTTTAATTTGCTACAGGGCGCATGCACTCATCAGAGGGAGAGAGAAAGAGAGAAAGCGAGGGAAGGTGAGAAACCATCCCCCAAGAGGGCTGGCCATCACACAATCCCTTCTCCATTTTCTTCATTGGATTTTGAGCCGTCGTGCACACATACCTGGTGTGTTTTTCTTTTTCTTTCTTTTTTTTTTTTTAAGAGACTTACTTATTTAATTTTATTAATTACTATTTCTTAATTCACCAGAGAGAGAGAGGAAGTGAGAAAGCAAGCCATCAGGCCAGGACTCAAACCATAGTAGGCCACATGGGAGTCCAGCGCCTTAATCACCATGCTACCTGCTGGCCCACGTGGTGTGTTTTACAAGCTGCCAGGTTTAGGACTTGAACCTCATAGTTGGTCATGTGGGTTCCAGTTGCCTTAACCACCACACCACTGGCTGGCCCAGCAGTGTTTTCTTTTGTTTGTTTGTTCTTAATTTTTTTTAAGAGAGATTTTTGCTATATGGTATGTATACTTGCTGGAGAGACAGAGAGACAGAAAGCAAAAAATCACCTCCTAGGGGGAAGGGTCATGCCACAATCTCTTTTCCTCCATTCTGCTCTCAGGATTTGGGGCACACATACACATGTGCCCAGTGTGAGTTTCAAGCCACTGGATCTGGGATTCAAACCACGGCCCACTATGTGGAAGTCCAGCAACATAACCATTACACCATCTGCTGGTCCGAGCAATGGGGTTTTTAAACTTTTCCTTGATTCTAATGTGTAGCCAGGGTTTAGAACTATTTCAATAAAGCCAAACAGCTGTGCTGGGCTCTGAGACTCTGCCTGAATGGATTCAGTGGGGTGGGCTGTGTGGAAGAGCTGCATTTGGTTTTTCAGGATTGCAGGCGTCTAGTACCTTGGAGTATTCTGGGTTTAGTGGGAGGGCTAAGTGGTATTTATATTCTGCATATTCTGGCTAATATATTTGTGGCTTCTGTGTGGTGAGGGGGCTGAGGAGAGGTAAGGGGTCATCCCAGAGAACACAGGAAACTGCCTCTCCTGAGAAGTTTGGGCTCTGAGCTGCTTTCAGGCCATGAAGCGCTGTCACCTTTCACGTCTGCATGGCAGAGACATGTGTTGGGCTGCTCTTCTAAGCAGGCTTCTTTTTTTCTTGTGCCTTTCTTGTAAAGAATCCTTAGCCCCTTCAGATATACTCAGTGGATGCTCAGGATCTCTCTGCAAGGCAGATCTTTCCTCCTGAGTTCACAAAGGGACACCAAGGAGGGGAGGGGAGCTGCTCTGCTGAACTGGCCGGTGTTATCAGCAAGGCAAAGGAAGACTGTGGGCCTCCGGCTTCCTGAGCGGGTCTGTGCTCAGAACCAGCCACGCCATCCTGGGCTAGTTTAGCCTGCTGTTCCCAGGACAGCTCGCACTGTGCCTGGCTGAGCATCTGAGCGCATCAGCAATGAGTGGGGCTGCCATCAGAGATGCATCTTCAATATGCCATTGTTGGCAAATCAAAGGGCACTCTCCTCTGAAAGTGGTCAAACCGACAAACAAAAAAGCCCACACTATATGAATCCCAACTAATTATACATCAACAGTAATTTTACCTTTCTGACTTTTTAATTAACTTCAATCTATTCCTTCTCTCAGGATTCCTCTCAAATGTGTCCTTTTGTGGTACTGGCTGCCCAGAAAGCATACGGACTTCATTCAAGTCTTCCGGTCTTACTGACAGCTACAGGCTGGGACAGCCAAATGGTCTGTGTACTCTGGCCTGACCTCTCACACAGGCCACAAACAGCAAAGGACAGGGTCTGCATCAGGGTGGAGGTCCAGGTGACAGGAAGGTGATCTGAGGGCTGAGTCCCTTCTTTCTCTAGAGTCCCAACACTCGATCCAGTTCTGCCTGTACTTGTGCCTGTGATGCTGATCAAGTGCCATTCCCACTGGACCATACGGGGTATCCGGATAGCTGTCCCCACAGAGCCAGACCCTGGCTCTCACCACCCCTTTACTGGCCGAGTAGACCATGTGAAAGGTCAGCAGGTCAACCATGTGAAGGGCCATCGATGTCAGTCACCTGACGTTTGTGTCTTCCATGAGGTTGTCCTGAACAACAGAGGGACCAGCCTTACAAGGCAAGCCACAAACACCAACCTGCCAGGTGCGCTGCATCCCCTAGCCAACCAGCAACCCCACCCACTCACTTGCTGTTTCTAATTCTGTTTGATTCCTGGCATAAGGAACCAACGTAAACAACACTTTGCAGTCTCTGACTCGGGGACTGAAACTGCAACAGATGTTTGTGTTTTGTGGAATACTAGGATGTTTGCGAAAGGCTTCAGGTTTGGTTTTTCTCTCTCTTTCAAGAAATAAGAGTGGGATCTATCTGGCTGTGATCTAACCATATATTTGGAGCTTCAGGACAGGGGTTTTACCTAATTTCATAATAAAGACATAATATTAAATGGTTATAGGAACCAGCAAGTGGCATGGAGGTCAAGGCAGCTGGATCTACATGGTCAACTCCACAGTTCTAGTCCTAGACCTGGCAACTTGAAAATCACACCGGGTTTATGTGCACAAATCCCAATAGGAAATTGGAGGAGAAAGAACTGCAACACGGTCATTCTCCCTAGGGGGTGATACCTCACTTCCCCTACCTGCCCCCGCCCCCATCTCTCTCCATCAAGTGTAAGCATCCTACAGAAGAAAAAAAATTAGAAATGAGTATAACTCAGGGTCCTGTCAACATAAGACTAAGGATCTTAAAGGTGACAAGTTGATGCTAGAAAACCAATAAATATATCATGACTGTGTCTATCCATCTCCTTTCAGTAATGGAAAACTTCTATTATGAATGATCACATAAAAACAAAAATGCTTTACAGAGGGACCAGCAGGTGACATAATGGTTACATTGCTGGACTCCCACATAGTCAGCCGTGGTTCAAATCCCAGACTCAGTGGCTTAAACCTCACACTGGGTGCATGTGTGTGCGTGCCCAAGATCCCAAGAGGAGAATAGAAGGGATTGCAGCGTATCCATCCCCCACTCCTGGGTGGGGGAAGTTCTCACTTTCTGTCTCTGTCTCTCCGACATGCACACACCCTATAGCAAAAGTCCCACAAAACAAACAAAAAACCACTTAACAGAATTTTCTATCAGAGAATTAAAAATTTCTAAGGAGTCAGAAAACTCAAGTCTCTGGTCATCTTTTTGTCTTTTTTTTTTTTTATCTATAGTTAAATTCTGTATAAAACATAGATCAGGAGCTTAAACTGTGCATTCTAGAGGTGTTTCCTGCATGGTTTGTCCCCACAGTCACTGTCCAAAGGACTCTGGGAAGCTGTAGGAATATGCAGGTGCAGGCGCTGGGCCCAGCTTCATCCTGGGGCAGAGCCCTATGCTTCCCTATGCCACCTGGACAGAGCCCAGGGAGAGTGACCTCCCGGGGTACCCTCATTGGACCATCTTTTTGTCTTAATAAGTAAGTCTTCACCAAAGGAAAGAAAGGGGTGAGGATGCTAGAGGGTAGGTAAAGATGAACTGCCATTTCTAAATGTTCTCCTTACCAAGACAATTATGGCCGTCATGAGCCAACATGAAGCCATCGAAGCAAGTGCAGCGGTAGTTGCCGGGAATATTCAAGCAGTCGTGGACACAGCCTCCATTGAGTTCATTTTCACATTCATCAATGTCTGAGAGAAACAGAAGCAAACAAGACAGGTGCTGTTTCTTTGACATGGAGACATGAGTCTTTACCTTCTAACCAGGCGGCCCATGATTAGGAATCAACCCTGAAGATGCACTCCAACAATGGGATAATAAACATGCACGAAGTTATTCACTGCAGCATTGTTTGTGTTAATAAAACATTGGAGACCATCTAAAGGCCCTTACACAGGTAAACCGTGTCATGAATTATGGTATATCTACTCGATGGAGTACCATACAGCTGCAATAAGGAAAAAAAATAATGAGGAAGATCTTTATGAACTGATTTAGAGTGATTTCTAGGATATGCTATTAAATGAAAAAACTCGAAATACAAAAGTATCTGTAATACATTGTCTTTGCTAAGAAATAAGGGGACATAATTAAAACACAAAATTTCAGCACACTTTTTTGTAGAACTTAAGCTTATCCTAAAATGTATGTAAAAGTTGAAAAACTCGAAATACCTAAAACAATTTTGAAAAAGGAGAACAAATTTGGAGGACTTTAACTCACTATAACTCACTACAGTTACCAAGAAAGTGGGATGTCACATATCAGTGGAACATAACTGCAAATCCGGAAACAAATCTTTATATTTATACTCATCTAATTTTAGACAAAAGCGCTAAGACAATTCATTGGGAGAAATGAATCTTTTCCACAATGATTCTGGATATTTGGATAGCCATATACAAAATAATAAAAAAAAAGATTTTCATCCCTTACTATATACACAGAAGTCAACTCAAAATGGATTAGAGAACTTAATATAAGCTAAACTATAAAGTTTTTAAGAGAAAACATGTGAGAAAAATCCTTGAGACCTATGCTTAGGTAAAATTTTTATATTCTTTTATATAATACCAAACATACAATCCATAAATTTAAAAATTAATAAATTGGGCTTTATCAAAAATTTAAAACTTTTGTACCTCAAAGACAACATTAAGAAAAAGAAGACAAGCCACTGATTGGTAGAAAATATTGGCAAATATAAAGGACTTACAACTATTACAGCTTAATAAGAAGAGAACTCAATTTCAAAATGGGCAAAAGATTTAAAGAGAAATTTAACCAGACGTAATATGCAAATAGCTAGTAAGCGCATGAAATAGTGTTCAACACCATTAGTTATTAAGGAAATGCAAACTAAAACACAATGATAAAACATATACACCATTATTACTAGAATGGTAACAATAAAAAATATGGACCGGAACAAATTTTGACAAGGATGCAGAGAAATGGAAACCCCATTCCCACACATTGATGATGAGAATGCAAAATGGCACAGCCACTTTGGAAAACAGGGTGGGCTTTCTTTTCTTATTCTCTTTTTTAAATGTGTAGGTCAGCATTATTAAATCAATCCTAATGTAGTGTTACTACCATTGAATCATTATCATTCATCTCCATCAGTCTTCTCATCTTATAAAATTAAAACTCTATATCCATTAAACAATAACTCTTCATTCCTCTCTCCTTGCCCTTGGAAACTGCCATTCTACTTCCTTTCACTGTTTTACTACTCTGAGTAAGTATCTCACATAAGTGGAATCATATGATGTTTGTCTTTTTGTGACTGACCTATTTCAGTTAGCATAATGTCCTCAAGGTTCATCTATATTGTAGCATGCGATAGGATTTCTTTCTTTCTTAAGGCTGAATAATACTCTATTGTCTATACATACTATATTTTGATTATCCATTCATCTCTCAGTAGACAATGGGTTTGCTTCCACCTTTTGGCTATTGTGTATAATGCTATGAACACAGGTGTACAAATATCTCTTCATCAACTTGCTTTTAATTCTTTTGATTACATATCCAGAAATGGAATTGTTGGACCATATAGTAATTCTATTTTTTTTTCCATTTTTGAACTACTATACTCTTTTCCATAGTAGCTATGCCACTTTACATTCCTACAAATCATGTGCAAGGGCTCCAATTTTTCTACATCCTTGCTTATACTTATCTTTTCTGTTTGTTTTTTGTTGTTCTTGGTTTTTGTTTGTTCACTTGTTTTAGAGAGATTTTTGCCATAGGGTGCATGCACTCACCAGAAAGGCAAACAGGAAGCAATAAATCACCCCCCAAGGGGGATGGCCACACAATCCCTTCTCCATTCTCCTCTCAGGATCTTGGGTACACACACGCATGTGCCTGGCATGAGTTTTAAGTCACAAAATCCAGAACTTGAACCACAGTTGACTACGTGGGAATCCAGCACATAACCATTATGCCATCTGCTGGTCCCTGTTTGTTTTTTTAATATAAAACATAACTAATGGATGTGATTAGTATCTCAACATAGTTTTGTTTGTTTTTTAGAGAGATTTTTGCTATAGAGCTCCTGCACTTGCCAGAAAGACAGAGAGAAATAGAAACAGGAAGAGAGTAATCATCCCCAGGGGAAATAGCCATGCCACAATCCCTTCTTCTCCATTAGCCTCTCAAGATTTGGGGCACACACGGACTCATGCCCCATGTGAGTTTCAAGTTGCCAGGTCCAGGACTTGAACCTTGGTCAACCATGTGGGAGTCCATTGCTTTAACCACTATACCACCTGCTGGTCCCACAATTTATTAAGAATCGTTGATTTGTACACTTAAAATGGGTGAATTTTATGGTATGTACATAATACCAGTTGTTTAACTTATTGAAAACAATACATTTACTTGCTTATGTGTACAAAAGAAATATAAGAGAGAAAAACCAGAAACTACAGAGATTAGTGACAAAAAGCATGTGAGGAAAGGTGTGGAAAGAAGGAGGCATGAGAATATGGTACTAGGAAGGAACAAGAAGGAAGCAACACTTCTGAGCGTATTTTTTTTTTTTTTTGTAGATTCTTGACTCTTAGAACCATGGTAATGTTTTATATACATGCAATCATACCATCAACCAGGACCCAGGGGTGGAAGGGGGGATGAAAGTTAATAGTGGGATACAAAGAAGAAGAAATGAGCCTGATTATATTATAAATTAATAACACAACCATGTTGAAGGGGATAGGGAAGAAAAGTATTAACCTAAATAACTTTGAAAACAATATGTTAGGGCTGGGAGTGTGGCCTAGTAGTTAAGGGAACTGGATCCCACATGGCTGACTCCAGTTTGACTCCCGGTCCTAGCAACTCAAAAAACATACCAGATGTGAGTGCAGGATGGGGAAATGGAGAAGAAAGGAATGCAGTGTGACTACACCCCATTGGGGGAGCTTTCTCCCTCTTGCTCTCTCTTTTTCTCTCTCTGGTGAGCACATACACCCTTCGGCAATTAAAAAAGAAAAGAAAACAACATCTTGATTGGATGTTTTAAGGCTAAAACCAAGAACAGCTGTATGTTGTACTCTAGTTAGTTCACCTCTCTTCAGGATTATGGGCTGGTAACACTGCCAATACTTTACAGGCATACTAGGATTGAACCAAGAGGTAAATAGATTTCAGTTAATGAGAGCCAGGCTTCTCACCACAGGAAAAAGAAGCTATGAATAAACAAAGGAGTTTAGAATGAATCTTGGGGTATCGTTTAGAATCCAAAGTATCAGCACCATTCATTTTTAATACATACAGATGGATAGATAAAAGGAATGAATTGAGACGCGTGTATGTATATGTGTGAGTTAGTATCTGTACATGTATATCCCACTTCTGCACACTGAGAGTGCCTAGGAGTAATGACATCCCAGTAGATATGAAAACATCAGCCAACCGGCTCTTGGTTTCTATATACCATTTTCCAACAAAAGGATCAAGATCTGGGACCAGCAGTTAGTGTAATGGCTATGTCGCTGGACTCTCATGTAGTCGACCACAGTTCGAGTCCTGGACCCAGTGGCTTAAAACTCATGCTGGGCGCGTGTGCGTGCGTGCCCAAGATCCCGAGAGGAGAATGGATTGCGGCGTGGCCATACCCGCTGGGGGGTGATTTCTCGCTTTCTGTCTCTCTGTCTCTCTGTCTGGCGAGCACACACGCCCTATGGCAAAAACCTCTCAAAAAAATAAATAAATAAAAAGGATCAAGATCTCCTTGGAGAAGTGGTTGACTCCAGGGTCAAGGAGGGGATAATATGATTCTGGAACATCTTGTGATACTAGAAAATTATTAATTTTTCAAATGTCTAAATAGCACATGAGACAATATGAAGGAGTTCCCAATAGCTGAGGCTAGGACTACTTGAGCCAAAAATAAATCATTACAGATATAATAAAAGAAATACCTACACACCCATAGTGGTATAAATAGATACATAAATAAGTGCAGAAATAAACAAATGAGAGGAAAAGGACAGATTTTCCTTACAGAAGAAACCCAACTAAGAGATGCATAAAGAATGAAGGAAATGAATAGTTATCAGTAGGTAATTTTTCACCATTACAATTCTTGCAGGCAAGATCCTCTGGTGAATGGTAACGTCAATGGGCAAAGATTTGAGGAGAAATAAGATACAAGTATAGTCTCAAAGTATCTCCCCCAAGATTTTCACCTATTGCAAAGTGGGGGAGAAGGAACTCTGCACTGCAGAAACCCAGAGAATATGATCTTAACCAGGTGATGAAGGTTCATGAAGGTTCACACACGCACACTCTCTGGCATGAAAAGAAGAAAGAAAAGGAAAAATACCACTTCTTACACAAACACCAACTTTGGATTTATCCTTATTAAACCTGATTATGTTCTTTAAACTGAGAAGTAAGGACCATATAATGATTATTGACCACTGAGAACACTCCTACGGACCTCTGATGAAAGGGAGAGGCAGAAGGCTTGCTTCTGTGCACAAAAGAAAGCTTCTTGAATAATGGCCCAGGGGCAGTCTTCCCTGAACACAGATCCAAACTCACTCATCATAATACCATATGTTATTCCCATTTGCTGTTTATATTTTCTTTTGGCCTTCCCTTCCTTTTTTTTTTTTTTTTTTTGTCTCCCCCTCCTTTTTTTTTTTTTTTTTTTTTTTGGAGGGACTTTTGCTATAGGGCACATGTGCTGGCTGGAAAGACAGAGAGAGACAGAAAGCGAGAAATCACGCCACCCCCCCACCCTGGGTCCAGAACTCAAACCATGGTTGGCTACATGGTAGTCTAGCCATTACGCCAACTGCTAGTCCCTTCCCTTCCTTTTTATTTTTTAAAAATTATTTATTTAACTTTATTCATTCATTTATTTTAATTTGACCACAAAGAGACACACACAGAGAGAGAGAGTGGAAGTGAAAAAGCAAGCCACCAGGTCTGGGACTCGAACCGTGGTCGGCCACATGGGAATGTCCAGCGCCTTAACCACTATGCCATCTGCTTGTCCTCACCTTCCCTTCCTTTTTAAACAGTTCATTTTTTAAAATCCCAGCTTGTCTCAGCTGTGCTAAGACAAGGAGATGGAGACCGTGAGTGTCAGGTCATTGCTGCAACACTATGAAGGTGTCTTGACAGTCACCTTCCAATCTGGTCATCTACACATTCAGCACCTAGATATTTCTTTCATGGGTTTAACTATTTGTTGGAAAAGACCCTGTGTCAAGGTGTTAGTGACTGAGCCCACCATGCAGTCACTTGTTCAAAAACAAGGACATTTGAGTGTCTACCACGTACCTGCCAGGCACTGCCGGACCTATGCACTGTTCCAAAACCAAGGCTCCACTACTCAAAGGCCACATGACAGACTGGTTAGGAACTCAGTACAAACACGGGAGGTAGGCCATTAGATGGTAGCAAAATAAGTGTTTATGATAAGTTTTCTTCCTTATCTAAAGAAGTTAAAAAGTGCTTGGAAAGGACTTTCTTACTCATTAGGTAGGTTTAGGTCCTGCAAGTACTCAGAGGATCAATTCTCACCAGAGTTAATCCAAGCTAGAAAGAGTTTGAAGCCCCTGGAGTGAGAGAGACCACCAACGTGCTTGTTAAGGTAGGTCCAAAGACGATGTCAGAATTGCAGGGATGAGTTCGATGGCCCTCATCAATTTTCACCTTCTTCCTGCCCAGGATGACTATAAATAGTAGGATTTCTCACCCAATCAAAGAAAGCCAGTAGGAGGCTGAGTAGAGATGAGAGAAAAGGGGCTGGGGCGAAGCTGGGAGGGAGACCTGCTTTCTCTCACCTGCAGGCCAAGTTTGATCATGGCCACCAGCCACGTACCTCCTGGGCCTTAGTCTTCACCACCATCTGTAAAATGTGGGATGGGATGGGCCCAGAGCTCCCTGAAGAAACACACCAGCTCCAACAGGCCAGGATTTTCATCCCCAGAAACAACCTCTTCCTATGAATGGCAGCCAGTTCTGAACCTCGGAGTTCATGATGTTTTTGCCCAGGACATCAAACAGCAGAGTCCAGACTTCAAGCTCCAGAACTGGAGCTCTAAAGGGCGAAGATATCTCTGGGTATGCATCTTTCCAGCATGATCTTGTAGCTCCAAAAGAGGCAGGCCCTTAGTGTAGCTCTAGAGCTGGGCAGGATGGCGCCTGGATGTAGCAGGTGTGGTTTTCCTTAATTTTTTTTATTATTTTTTAAGAGAGTTTTATTATTTTTAGAATTTTTTTGTGGTTTTTGTTTTTTGTTTGTTTTTTGCTATTAGGCATGTGCACTCACCAGAGAGAAAGAGAGACAGAGAGAAAAAGTGAGGACTCACCCCTCCCCTAGGGGTGATGGTTATGCTGTAATCCCTTCTCCATTCTCCTCTCAGGATTTTGGGCACACACACACACTCACCCCCGGTGTGAGTTTCAAGCCACGAAGTCTGGGACTTGAACCACAGTTGCCCACATGGGAGTCCAGCACCCAAACCACTTTCCTAACCAGTGTGGCTATTTACTTTCTGCCCCTAAACGGAGTGGACCCAAAGGATGCTGCGGCATCTCTTTTCCTCTCCAGAAGTTAGATGGAAGGCTATTTCAGAACCAGATAAAACTGTACTATCCACTCTGGGGAAGACCTGATGTTCCCAGTTAGTTCAAGATCTCACATGCATTTCAGAAAGTAGGTGATGTGCTTGGGAGCGGGGAGTGACGGAGGGGGGCAGAACTCTGACCAATGTGAGTGGCCTCTACAAGAGCCAAGGAAGAACGGACTCCCCACGCCCACTCTCCATGGTCCCCAGGTCACTTACCCTGGCACTGCCTGCCCTCCCCTTGGTAGCCAGGTTTGCAGGAGCACTTGTAGGAAGTCGGCGTGTTCTGACACAGGGCATCAGCATGGCAGTCATCCAACCCTTGGGCACACTCGTCCACATCTGCAAAAGAGCACAGCAAGCACCTGGTATGGTGTCCCTGCCTTGGGTGGTCCAGCCTGGACCTCTCCGCAATGTCACCTCCCAACAGCACACCCACTTCACTCCTCACACATCAGATCTGCTTGGGAACCCAGATGAACCATACCATGTCCAAGCCACTGGAATTACCCTTACTGTTGCCTGCTAGCCTCCAGAACTCAGCTCAGATCCACCTCCTCCAGGAAGGCTGCCAGGACTCTCAGTGTTTTCCTCCTTTCAAAGCACCTATCATGCAGAGTTGTCACTGCGTATTCCTGCCTGTCTCTCCGCTAGCCTGTGACCCTGATGCCAAGCCAGCCCAGTGCCTGGGCATGAGTATGTAATAGTGAACATCTGCTAAAGGAAGGAAGAACCAGGCTGGCAGCAAGTTCTGGTAGCGGAGCAGCTGTCAGCTCTCTCAGGGTTTGGGAAAGCTTGGAAGGAAGGAAGCTTGCCCTGGGCTCTAAGCATATGCCATTTGAGCTCTCAGAGGATGCAAACGAGAATGAGCTCCCACTACCCCTCTCTCCCACCCGTCTACAGTCTCAACCTGGAAACCAGCCCTGGCACAGTATTTCCCTGGGTTGACACCGCTCCAGGACGTTAATTAAAAGCAAAGAGTTTTGAAAGTACAATACTCTCAGCCCAGTTAGAGCAGAATGCCCAGGGTTCTCATCTCCAGTTGCCCAAAACCTAGGCTTGGTGCTGCTTGAAGTATTCCCGATCCTTAAACAGCGTCCCTCCAGCCGACCCTGAGGCTGGCAGAAAACTTCCTGGCCCCAAAAGAAAGAAGAGGCCAAGCGGCCCGGCCCCACAGACGCATCCCGGCCCGGGCCCTCAGTTTCCCCATTCACACAACAGGAGCTGCCGGGTGCCGAGGTCCCAGGAACCTCCTCCCTGCTCAACTAGCAACAAGCGACAGTCTGACCAGCAGGCATTCTCGGGGACCCTGGCGGCGGGACCCGGCGAGAACTGTCATCAGCTTCGGGTCCGAGGCCAGGCCGCGGGACTCCGGCCCTGGGCCTCTGGCCCTAGCGAGGTTGGCGCCTTGGCCTGGCGGGCGGGTGAGGGCCCCAGAAGCTGGGGCCACGCGGAGCTCCAGCTGCCAAGCTCCGGCCCCGCCCTCCCGGCCCGGGACCTCGGCGAAGGGACCCAGGACAGCTTCCCCGCGCCCACGCCGCTGCGTCCCGCCAGGTGCGCCCCCGCGGCCGGACACTCACCCTCCGGCGGCCCCGCGGAG